GCTCTTTGAGGTTCTCGGAAGGAGTTCAGCAGGGTTTGGGCAGGATGAAAGCTGTGACGAGCAGTGCGGAAGAGAATGGCTGCAGCTGTACCATCCTGCAGTCTGTCAAGAGTATCAGGCATGCCCAACGGTCGAAAGAAATCAGCAGTGGGTCCTTGCTTTGCTTTTGGGATCCACACACCTACCTGGGTTGGCGGCGCAAGGGAACCAGATGGCATGTGGTGGAAGTCATCTTGTAATATAGCTGCTGTTTGCTGTGGGAAGGCACGCCAGAGGGCATACGGCAGTCCATCAGGCCCTGGCGCCGAATCTTTAGTGAGTAAGAGATGCTCGAGGTAGTCTTGCGCAGTAGGTTCAGGGATACGTGGCCATGGGGAAGTGCACCGTCGGTAAGCCGAAAGCGTACTGTGCCATTCAGCATCATATCTAACAGGGTGGACAAACCAAAAGTCTCTTGTCGCGAGCATGGCCTCATCATACTCTAAGGCAGTGCGGCACTCTTGTCCATTATGCTGCAGCAACGGACCGTGATAAAAGGTGCTTCGTGGACAAATAGTCTTGAGTCTGTCCCAAAACAGTTTCTGTCTGTGAATTCTTTGAATAGGATTGACGCTTTCAGTACCAAAGGGTAGAGATGTATTGGCCGCAGCCGAGACTTCAGCTGCCGGCAATGCTGCCGCTATGACTGTGGCCGGGACACGGAGTTTCATCTGTACTAAGGTGAGACGTGTGAAGCAGTGTCGTACTAACTCGGTGGGCCTGAATTCTGGAAGTATGCAGTGTGCTGTATCAGGACTTTGACTGTTGTCCTAGAAGGCCTTTCAAAGGTGGCCTTCGTGTGCAGACAAGGGGAAGAGCTACCCTTGTCAGGTTCGGTTGCGGGCACTCCTTGTGGAAAAGCTAAACGGGGCAGCCGGTGCGAATAATATGCAGCACGAGGTCAGTGATGATCGTAACAGGTCACACGTTGCAATGCTTCGCAGGCCTTGGAAAACCACTACAAGTGACTGCACGAGCAAAAGAGGCTGTGGCCAGACGTGGATACAGAGGTGATGGACATCGCAACGAAAGTGTGGCTGCAGGCAACCAGTTGAGCTCCCTCAAGCTGGAGGAGGCACTCACGCCCGCCCGAATGGCTCCCGGGCAGCAAGCGGGGGGAGCCTGGGGGGCGTGCGTATTTCAAAGAAGAATGGATAGAGCAGTCATCACAGGTCACTATCTGGGCATGCATGGCCCTGGTGAAACTGGTGAAACCGAAAAACACCAACCCAAAAATCCCACAAAACCAACAAAAAACGACACCGGAAACCCCAACAACCAATGTGGGCAGAGTTTCGCACTGTACTACGGCGAAGTGGGCCTGAATTCACGAAGTATGCTCATCAATGCTCCCGAAACTTTGGATCGAAGTCCTTGAAAGGCCATCCATAAGTGGCCTTCAGCGCAGACAAGGGGCCAGGCCGCCCTTGCCGATTGAGGTTGCTGGCACTTCAACTATATCCGAACGCATGACAGATCAGCTGGTGCGAAACGATTGCAGCTCCTCAGATCAACATTGGTAGTTACAGGTCATCAGTAGTTGCAATGCCTTGAAAACAACCATCTTACTGCACAGCCATGACACACGACTGCACAAGCAGGACGATTGTGGCCAGTCTTGGACACGGAGGTGGTGGACATTGCGACACAATCGTGGCTGCAATGGGGTCCAGTTGCACGACTGCGAATGTAATACTCGGTCACTGCACGCCAAAGCTGCTGGACAGTCCCTGCACCGCTGATGAGTTGCACGTGTTCAGCTACTTTTCAGGCAAATTCCTCAAATACAGCAAAAAACTGATCCCCCTCATTGATTCTCTCAACCAATGCTCTGGCCATCACACTTGCCTCAAGCATACTGTGAAATGATTCGATCTCTGTCTAAATCTCGCGAAGAACATCAATCAAGCCTCAATTGAAGGTTTCTTGACAGTGAACTTCAAAACAAGCTCTCTGTAGTAAAGGGCCTCCTCTCCCATCTGTGGGAAGAGTGGCCATGTGGCCTCAGATTATTGGAAGAAGCATTCTGACAAGCGACCATCCAAGAACACCAAGGACACTGGAGCAGACACTGGAAAGAAGCCTTTTCCTTCCAAGCGAAAGAGGAAAGGCAAAAGCAAGAGCAAGGGCAAAGGAAAGAAAGGCAAGCTTTGCGAGGTTGAAGGTGACGAAGGTGATTGGAAAGAGGCTGAGTGGGAAGAATTTGACCTTGAAGAATCTGAGACTGAGGAGGACCAAGTGGCCATGGTTGTCAGATCAAAGCCTGGAGAGGCTTCGAGTGCTGTTCCGGCGAGTTCGAGCACTAAAGGGGTCTTCCACCAGTGAGCCCGTAGTTGATAATGTCACTCATCCTCTTGAGTACTTGTTGAGCACTCAGAGCTTGGGAAAGGATCTCAAGACCCATTGGCTTGTAGATTCAGGTGCCACTTGTCACATTGTTGCTGAGGAATGGTTGAAGCTTTGCAAGGTAAAGTACTGGTACCCAGGTTCAGCTCCAATCCTGAGATCAGCTGCTATGCCTTGTCAGAGACAGGGTGGTTGACTCGACTAGGAGGGGCGCGAGAGAGTGTCCTTGAGAATGGTCATGGTGCCAATTTCGCTTTGAGGATTTGTGAACGTGCTTGGTGGTTGAAGGTTGATTTGATTTCAAAGCCAGGTCAAACCAGACGCGGAGGCAAAGCGACCAAAGGTCCTGCTCCCATGGTTGATGAGGTGAAAGGCCCCCCATCGAACCCAAAAGAAGAGATTAGAGAGACCCAGACCACAGAAGCACGAAGCACTGAGAGCACAGCCACACCACATACACAGTACAGAAACGATGTTGAAACGCAAAACGAAGCACTGACAGTTTCTGGCACGATGGTTGCCAGACAGAACAGGCACGACCAGTTTCTAAGGCAGGAAAGTCCAGAGCTAAGGGCCGAGAAGTGATGTGCACTCAGCCTGGTTCTTTGCAGTCGTTTTCGTATGTGTGTCGTATGTTTCGGTTTTGTGGTGATGAGTCTGTTTCTTTTCCAAATTTGTCTTGTGAACATGAGCCCGATACGTTGGAGAAGGGGAAGGAGGATGATCAGAGAGATTTTGCCTCTTTCACTTCTGAGTTTGACACCTGGGAGGTTGAGTCGAACTCGTCTTTTGTGAGCTGTGAAAGCCAGTTTGTGGATTTTGGGTGAATTTGTGGCCTTCATTTTGGGGTCCAGCAAAACCGGTCTCGCCACGGAGGGCCTCCCCAGTAGCGCTAAGGAGGACAGGTTAGTTGGCCAGATCCCAGGCGGACACCTCAGTGTCTGTCCTGGATGAGTACATAGTATACAGTCCTTTCGGTGACATAGGCGTAGTGCGTTTCTGTTTCACTTCGTTTCACTGTAGAGTTGGGGCACTGCATGATTCACCCGGCAAACACCTGCAACCATTCGACAGCTTTCGTGTTGCGCTTCCCTTTCTGTGCTTTCCTTGGCAAAGCTGTTTGGGGAGCACCGTCGCAATGCCGCTGTCTGTGTGCTCCTCCTCCCCCGCGGCGGGGGGGAGTTACAGCTGTCTCAAAGCTGTTGGCCATGTCCCTTGTTTGTGGCACTTGTACTGCCCTGTCAACACTTCGTACATTTCGTAAGTCAACAGACACGCTGCTGGCCTTCTCTCATCCAATTGCTTGGAGCAATAGGATGATGCCGCAGTGGTTTTCCGTTTTGTGCCTGTCCACTCTCCCGCAAGCATACAGGGACTCGGCAACATGGTCATGCAAGCCTCTCGCCAGCCTCAATAGAAAGCAAACAGTGTGCGCAGCTTTGCTTCTTTGAGAAAGGCCATGCCAAGCGCTATTTCAAGAGCGCTAGGCCACCATGTCATCCCTTTCGAATGCCCTTCGATCGTCAATGTCCTGATGTACTAAGAGGCCTTTTGCTAACTTGTCTCACTCTTATCTTTCCGTCTCACCCTCGCATGAGGTACCTGAGTTGCACTGCCAGGATGTTTGGTTGGGTTGTGTTGGTGGTTGTGTTGTTTGGCTTGTTTTTTGTTGGTTGCTTTCTGTTTTGGTTCGGTTGTCTCTTTCCTGGCTGGTAACTCATTTTATCCGTAGCACAAGATGACCTGTGCAATCTCTGCACACATGGCGTCTCCACCCGTGCAAAAAAAAAGACGAACCCTTCGTTCAGGCGATTTTTCATGTTTCTATATAACACAATTTTTCAATGGTAACGCTGAACGTTTTGGGACAAAGGTTTTCGGACAAAACTGGGGCCACTTGGGGTCAAACTGGGGGCATGTTCGGAAGATGTTCTTCCGAAGCCTTCAAGGTAGCCGACCCTATGCATCTGTGAAAACCTGTACGAAGCCGAAGGTTTCTAGCGATTTTTCGAGGCTTGTGGCTCTCGAAAGACAAGGGGGCTGTGTAGAACTTACAGGGTTCAGTACGTTGATGGAACGTTAGTACGACATGAAGTGGTTATGGCGCTCAACATCTTGGGTGAGAGCCGGTTTATGGAGATGTATTACGTCTTACGTCGTACATGTGTGTCTAAAGATGTGTGTGGGTGTTTCAAATAACAACAAGAATCCGTGTGAGGCAATTGTGTTGGCGTCGCTCTCTTGTTTGGGATGTATGGGTTCTTATTGGCATTGGCGCATGGTTGGAACAAAATTGAACGCTTTAACAAAGGTTGTTCTCGTTTGGACATTCTTCCTGATGAACTGCCGGCAGATTCAATTCGTAGCGGGGTGAACATTTAATCAATGACACAGTGAAGGAGTGTTTTATCATACAAAGCAACAATGCGTCACATTTGATTTGCCACCCTGGCAGTTGAGTGGTTCGAAGGCGCCACATGAATACAGCCCCTGGAAAAGCTTGTGCATGGTGTGCATTAAAATACGGGGTTTTTTAAGTTTTTTTCAGAGGAAAATCTGTTCGATCTGTTTGGAAGTGTGTTCGTGCATTTTTCGTCGGTCGCGGATTCAGTCCAATGGGCAATGTGTGCTGTGAAGTGCAACCGCAAAGGCATGAGGTTAGCTTGGAGACCTTCAAGAAGTCCAAGATCGACTTGGTTTTGTCCAGCATCCACATGATCAATTTCTTGACTGAAGTTGATCACTATCCTTGCCTTTATACGAATGAGGCTGTCCTTGTGGAGGCCGTTCGTCGTTATGAGACCATTTGGCTTCCTCTGGTGGCACGGTCTGGTGTTATTGAAGTTGTGCCTCCTTTGGATGTAGAGTGGATTTGGCATTGCCATATGCTCTCACCTGTGGCTTATCAAGAAGATGCCCGTAAGGCCAGATTGAGCGTGGGGCACCGCAGGGGCGGTGAGCAAGTCATATCGTTGAACCATAGTTTTATGTTCGATCATGGCCAGATGCCCGATCAGGTCACTGGTGTGGTCCCTGATCACCGCTTGATGCCGCGGTCTGGGGAGGCGTGGCAAAAAGCACAACAATTGGCGCGGCACCTCTGGCAGCAGCAAACCTCAGAGCCCTTTGACGTGGCGGCGCTGGCCACGGTGCGCACTGTGTGCGTGCAGGGACTAATGACGCACGTACGGAAATGTCGCGTCATCCACCTGAGTTCTTCTTACTCTATCAAGAACTGGTGTTCGCCAGTGAATAGGGGTTTGTAAGTGGAGGTTCTTTCTGTCCCTTGTTCAGAAGTGACTGTCATCTACATGCTAAATGGCATAGAAATTCTGAAGACACCGAATGATCGACTGTTCTTTTTGGTTACTTTTCGTTACCCGGTAAATGCCTTCAAGCTACCTTTCATTCACCCCTTCGTATCTCAAGTGAGTCTGGTGATGGTCATTTCGCTTCATGCCAAGGTATCATAGTGTAGCTGTGACATGTCCCGGCAGACATGCAAGTGCAGACGCTTTGGGAGCCGTTGTCTACTTGACATTGCTTGCATATCATTTCTTGCAATGAAGCTATTGAACAACAAGGTTTCCAGGGGAAGTAGTACAAAGACTCTGTTTGTGCAAACCATTTGTTTTTATATAGATCTTCCATCGCATTCGTTCACTGCATGGAAAAACACAGCGCTGTGAAGCTATAATATATATATATATATATATATTAATGTAAATTTCAATCATTTCCTAGCGTTTTTGCACGAATGTCCTGAAACTGACAGACGACTTTTCATTCTTGGGAGGCTCCTCTGGAGCAGAAACCGCTGATGTATCCAACTAAGCTCAGCCACGACCTCGTGGCAGCGGCAAAGCGGCAAATGTCGTTCCACTACCAAGTAGCGGTGATGCCGCACTACCGCCGCTCGGCTTGAAAGGCTTGCAAAAAGACCGGTTTTCATGATACAATGATGCTTAATTCCACATGACGAGTGTCGAGTTGACCGGTTGCCGCTCCAGTTCGTTGTAGTATGCTCACACACTCACGCACGACCTTTGGACACGTGCGGGCAAGTGTACAGCATGGCATGTCTTTCGTGATCCGGTCAATGCTTTGTTCGGCCCCTGGGCCCCTCTGTGCGAAGGAACACCTTCATGATCAGTCGTTTGTTTCCGTTCAGTTGTTTGATTGTTGGTGAAGCCTTTTGGGTCTTTTCTCCTGCGGTGCATTGACTTGCAAGGAGATATTCAATTCTTGGAGCTGGCGGTGGAGAGGTACCTCGACAAGTTCTTGGAGTTGAAGAAGAGACATCCCAAGGTGACACTTTGGAGGGCCGTTTGAAGACCAATTACAGTTCGTTTCTGTTTGAGCTCCAAGCCACTCTGTTAGAGTGTGTAGTGTCTTCTTTTGTCTCGGACTTTTGCTGTCCATGTGCAGGGTAGAGAGAGTGCTGGCCGTCAATCAAAAGAACAGTGCTTCGCACTAGCAAAGCAGGGTTGATGCTTAGTACTCCGGTGCAACTGAACGGATTTGGCCCTGACGCCCTGACAGGACTTTTGGGTGCCGACTTATGACATAGATTGTGTTTGGCATGCTCATCAGCTACATCCACATTTGTATGAGAGAGACCTTTGAACTGTGCGGCTGCGTCCTCCCCCATGACGACAGCTGCTTGACCTGTTCTTGGTGAGTAATCATGTGCTGCGGGCTGCCGGTTCAGACAGGATAGGCTCATGCACAAGCCTTTTTCCAAGAACTTACTTGAAGCCTTGATTCAGATTCGCTTTAAGAGAGGGTGGGAGTTTGGAGGTTCCCTCGGGGTTTGGAATCTATTCCGAAACAAGTCCTGTAGAGAACAAGGCACACAGCATCCACTCTGTTGGCCAAGTGTAGGAAAGTGCGTAAACACAGCCATCGTAGCAGAGACCGAGTCCCTGGAACGTGGTGAGAGTCCGTGAAGGAGGTGTGACCATCACGGTGACCGGGAAACAAAGCTTTGCAACCTTAAAAGCTTCACACCATCCAAAGCCCATTGGTTGGATGTCACCCTATTAAAATACACACCCAAAAAGTGGAACATGCCTCCAGAAAGCTTCAGGAGCTAGGAAAGATACAGTGTACAAAATGGTGGTGGTTACACAGCAACATTGGCAACATGTGGTGGTGGGTTGGCAAGGTGTCAATGACCGGTCTGCTGGCAGTCGCCTGGAAAGCCGCTGGGAACAGACGCAGAAGACCTGGCAAGCAGAGTTTGGTGAGGCAAGATTGGTTTGTGGCAAATCTGTGGGGCCTGCGAGGATGTAGCGGGGTCTAGCTATTGATATTGTGTTTTTGGCTTACAACTCACTGATCGGCTGTTTGGCTTTTGCACAAGCCTTGGACCCTGACTAAAGGACAGCCAAACCTGCCCAATCAACTCTTCAGAGTGGCGCACTTGCTTTCCAAGAACCATATCCACCAGCAGTCCAGGGCCGGTCGCAGTTTGTCACTAGTAGCAAGAAGCTACTACTGGGTGCTCGGGTTAACTTGTCTCGAGTGGCAAGAACTTGTGCCAGATGAGGTGTGCCCTTGGGGGAATGCTAGATTGGAGCTACCTTTCTGTATGTATGTTGTTGTTTATCATAGGTTGAGAATTTGACTAAACCGCAAAGGCACACTATTGATTCTGGTGCTAAAGTCGTTGCGATTTCATGTTTTTGGCTTCACTACACTCTGATTAAGGTTTTCCACAGTTGTTGCGAATCGGTGTCCCCAAGTTGTGTCTAGGCGTGTAAACGTGCGTTGTTTGGTCATTTCATACTGTGTGATTGTTTTTTTCTTGGTGACTGGTGCTTGGAACATCTTGGAACACAACTAGCTTCAAGTTGCGCTTCCCAACCAATGTTGGGACAGAAACTGCGTTTTCCAAATGGGGTAAGTTTCTACATTCGTGGGGTAAGCGGTGTGCCATGGGGGTGGGTCAAGTTCCTGTGTGATGGGGTAAAATACCACATCGGGTCGTAGTAGCTCCTGGCCTTACTACTAGGAGCAAAGACGCTACTAGTAGCAAGAAGCTTTTAGGGGCTCCTGGCCTTACCAGGAGCAAGGACGCTACTAGCAGTCCTGTCAGCCCCTGTCAGGTTGGCCCCCAGACCTCGGGCGGCATGTTCCGAGGCAGGTTCCGTACCGAACTCTCCTGGGTGGTTCCGTGACGGGGGGTTCCCTGATGAAGCCAGAGGAGGTTTGTTCTGTCGACATTTTGTGAGGGGGAACAGTGGGTGGATGAGCGAGTCAAACTGCAACTTCTCACTGCTCGATTTTTCGTTGAGTTGGCGCCACGAGTGGGAAGGGCGACGTTCGACCCTTTGAGGCAACGTGACGCTTCGAGAACGGGCTCTGCGCCCGGTGCAGCGACCGATGCTGTGGACGCCCGCCAAGGGCGCCTTCCGTGTGGAGCCGCAGACCGAGTGGCGTACCTTTGGCGTTGGAAAACCGGCGGACGCCTGTGGTCTTACCTGGTTACCTAACGTGCTAGAAAAACATATAGCTGTCTAAGCTGTCATGCCACTTGATGTTCGCCGCCAGTGGGCCACGCAATGATTGAAAAGTGGTGGGCGCAAAGGCTCTACAGTAATTAGATCCTCGAAGAGCTGAAGGTGATTGGAAGGGCAACAACAGTAGGAGATGTTTGTAAGTGTTTTCATCTACCCAAAAATGCCTTGGGGGCAGCGCATCTGGATAAGAATTCACGAAAGCTCAATGGAAGCGCTCTTTGGAGCATTGTTTGGACTGGTGCATCCTACATGGAATTGTTTTTTTTTGCCACCCGAATCTTTTCTTCAGACGTGTAGGGTTGGGGCCCCGAATGTTCCGTTTGCTTCGGTCATTCCTTCTGGGATTGCCTTTCCCCTTCTTCTGAGTGCGCGAGGCCCCGCAGCTGACGGTACCGAGTGGCTGCACCGAAAGGACGCTTTGACGCCGCTCTCGCAGAGCATCAACCGCTACTCCAAGACTGATCACTTTATAGGACATGTCTGCCATGGCAAGAACTGCCATGGGAAGCACTTCAGTCACTTGCACGAAGTTGGAAGGAACCGATCGCAAGCCCAAAGGCCATGACATGGTGTTATATGACTTCGGATCAATACCAAAATGAGGCACTTCTACACACCCCACCATTGCAGTGGTTCTGTCTCACACCATATTGCCAGAGCCTATGTTTGAGCAACGGATTGGCGAGCTAGCTACAATTTGGCCAGACCCATCACAACTCACACCAACTCGAGTGTACAACATTTCTACCTGTAGAAAATGTGATGAGCAAATTGCTTTGTGCAGAAGACCGGCCTGGGCCGTTGTCGCGCGCCCACATGGGAATGAACGAAGATTGCCCACGTGGTACACAAACAGTCATCCGATCATGGTTATACAGTGGCAGGTTAGTGAGTTCTCGCCTCTCGAAAACTTCTAGCGCGCGGACAAACAGTTTTGTATTTATACCATTTTATACCTATTCCGGCAAATATTGACCTTATATTAATTCTGATACCGGGTAGCATGGAACCCGATGAATCACAAAAGAAAATGTATGGATACAACATGATACAATTGATTGGGCGGATCTTTGCCACATCGTGCGAAATCTTGACAGACAAAGCAGATGGTGCACGAGACAATGATCATGCTGAGTTCTCATCATGTGTAGCGCCTCCAAAATCCAAAAGGAGAAATGACCAAGAATTCGGTCAAATTGGAATTACTCATATTTATGACCTCCGCAATGCGTTGCACATTTCGCACGGGACTGGCCAGTGGGTCTGGTACAAGTAATCACGGCGCAATTGGTATCCATTCTAGAGGAATATGCCTCATGGAGCCCAGAACAAAACCAGTTTCAGTTTGTACATAGACTTTGTTCATAAGGCTTGCCCTGGGGCCACACACTCAGCAACGCTGTTTGGACATTCATGTCCCACCATGCGACAGAACCCAGAAGTAATCACTTGGATTGAACTGGCCACGGCTTTACGCTGTGTAGGAGCTTCAAACTGCCCACCCGTCCTCTTCATGGCGAAGGAATGGTAGAATCATTTCTTTTGATTTTGGGCAAAATCCAGATCCTACCTCGTAAAGTCTTCCCTTATGCCTTATGCATACAGTCAGAGGCATTTCGCACAGTAGTCGAGCACTTCTAAAGACAAGCTGATCCCAGTGTATAGCAAGACCGAAACAAAAAGTCTCTTGAACACCAGGTTTAGTGTCACACTCAATGCAGATGTTGTGCCGGCCAACAATTCCACGGTCTCCGGACGTGGTTGATATACCTCATGGAATCGGAAAGCACTTCCGCGGAACACTCATCCAGCCCAACTTGAGAAAGGAAGCACCGATCCCACAGCTGCACCGTGGATTTTGATTCTTCGCTGTAATTGTTCAATCGTAAGCCTTACTCACTCATGCATTCGTGGCTTATCTGGTCCGGTATACTCGTTCTCGCAGTTTTTGTTGACATTATACAGAAACTTCTCGAAACCATCGACCATCCAACGATTATATTTCTGTGCAACATCCTTTAAGTATCCGGCCTGAGGCCAAAGAACCTTAGAGGGGCAAGGACCGTGGGACATGCTGACAAATGGAACATGGACATCCATTCTGTTCAAATCTGCTCCTCCACGACACATCCCCAGATGTTGTTCAGCAGATCGATGAGGCTACATCGAGGTCTCGTCGATCAGTGATCAACCTCGCTGCTTGCCGTTGATCACCGCGCACAGCATTTCCCACGATCAACTACCAGGGCCGCTGCAGGCGATCTCAGATCGACACTGATTGACAGATGGTCAAAGTTGGTTTGTGATTTCCGCAGACGGACTTTTCGGGTTCAGTATTCCCCAAGTAGAAAAAGAGTAGAAAAGCAGGTGAAGTGACCTTTGCAATATCAACTTTTGGATGTCGACAGTCTCCTCATCCTCTCGTCCTCCCCTCAATCAATTCAAGGCGATCATGTTAACCAGAGACGCACGTCGGGGCGAGTCACACCGTTCGGTCAGCGGCTCCTCTGTTTCGGGGAACTCAATGGTGAGCAGTTGGAAACGAGCTTCGGGGGTTGAGGTGTTTTGAGCTCCCCAATCCAAATGGTTTGATTTTGTGTCCGAATTTTGCCTTGACGGAAGAAAGACAAAGACATTTCACGTCTCACAATCCCACTATTAGTGTGTTGAATGTGGAAGCCTCCGGCCCTTTTCTTGAACATGCAGCTTCAATCCCAATCAGACTGGACTCTAATCTGCTGGACTCTGCCAGGTGAGATCCAAGATACCTACTCTCAGCAAGAACTGCTTGGCCTACTTGCTGCGGGTCGCCTGCGAAGATGTGGCCATTGTGTTAGGGACTTGGTCAGGCTTCGAGAAGAGTTGGCGCAAAAGTCGCTTGGTCGAAGGCACGAAGCAGCTGTGTGGTCTACCAAGGGAGGTGCAGAACCTTGAGAAACAGTTTGCTTGTATTGCTTCCGTGGCTGACAGCTTGTCTCCATGATCTCATGCTTTCGGTTTAGACTGCTTTGGCTTGTCAGAAGTTGTTTGTATCATTTTTGTTTCAAGTACCAGCGGTAGTTCTTTGGTCGTGGATACGGTCGAGTAGTTGCAAAGAAAACAGGTGCCGGAGCTTGGTCAAGTCCTCACTGGGACTCAAGGTGTTGATCACCCGAATGCATTGGACACCGTTTCCTTCTTTATTTGGGAGACCTTCCAATGGTCAACTTCCTCGAATGCGAGGCAAAAGGAATCCTTCAAAGCCTGGACGGCTGGACATCAAGGTCTTCGCACTGAAGGCAGTACAGGGCTTTGGGTTTTGTCTGCTTGGGGTCATGAATAGCTGGAAGGGCAAACATATGTTAAGAAGTATATATCCACCCTTTCAGTTTTCTTGGGGTTATGTTATGTTTTTTTGTTGATGCCCTTGTGCCTTTCTTGCACATGCTATGCTGTTAGCTTTTGAAAACGACTTGTTTGCATGGGCCCTTTCCGGTCAAAGCACCTCCTGCATAAGGCTGGCTCATACTGCAACTTGCGCCAAAACACGAATGACACTACATCACCCAGCAGTGTCTGGTCACAGAAGTAGAGCACTTTGACTTGATGTGGCGAGATAAGCCAGAGGACCATAGAAGGCTTCTTTTGGAGCAAGCCAAACCACTGGACCACTATTGTGTGGGGTTCCAGCGAGTGTTTCTTGTATTTCATGCATGCCTAGAGCATGAGCCGTTGGAACACATCCCCAAGAGCCAAAGGTATAGATTGTCAGATTTTTCCCGTCCGAGTTGTTGAGGTTTTCAGATGACTCTGAACGAGTTGCTGCTCAAGGAGCCTGAGCCATTGCAGAACCAAGGAGTTGTTGGATCGGTTCAAATGCATCTAGCCTCTGCAATCATCCAGCTGAGTGTGTTGTCTACACCCAGTGCTCTTGCCATAGGCACGGCCCCTTGCTGTGCCACTTTGAGTGTATGAAGAGGGGGAGTGTGCACATGAGGGAACGCTTGCTTTTTGGGCTGATCCATCAACCCACCCATTGATCACAACAATATTGGCGGTCAAGCCAAGTCAGCATCGGGTGGGACAATCATCACATTCGGGTCAAGAATCAAGAAAGCATGCTTGGAGTCTAGAGAGGTATGATGGTCAAGACATGCTTGAATCCCGCTCATTCTGACCTGATGTCTAGCAGGCTATGCATTTGCCTTGACCTTTGCATCCTTGCATGTGGCTCTTCAACCGCGGATGAGATCATCGCAAGCTCCGTCCTCTAAAACGATGTACGCTCCCTTTTCAGTGGATCAGCAGAAGTTTCACATGCTCCAGTATGCTGGAGGAGATGTAATGTCTGGAGACCAAACAAGGTTGCCGTTGGATGAAAGTACAGTACCCTCTCAAGTAGACGCAAAGACATAGGTATGGCTTCATTTGAGAAGACAGAGAGATGTGAAGATCTCTTTGGTCCAATTGCTTCTCCCTTTATCTTTGCCAGGAGACACAGGGCAACAAAAACCTTCCAAAAGCAGCCGCAAAAGGGACGACTTCGATGGCGCAGGAACAGGATGTTCAACCCCGATGGACGATGATTTCTACAACTATCTCATCTTCGAAAGCGCACTGCATGACTCTGCTGACCATGGTGATTGTGGCGGCTGTGGCGGCTGTGGCAGTTGCGGTGGTTGTGGTGGCTGCGGTGGGTGTGGTGGATGTGGCGGTTAAACACTGCACTGAGCACTTTGCAGTTTGTGCCAGGGCCGAATTTGTACAGCTTCCAGCAGCCTGGAATACATTGAATTGGCAGGGATTTCTAGGATTCCAGAATCTACTGTATTCAAGCCGTGCCTGGTTCGGCAACCTTTCCCCGCTCTGGTTATTTCTTGTTCATTGTATATAGCTTCAAAGAAAGCACATAGAGTTATTCCCGCAATTGACAGGTGGAATCAAAGCATGCTTGCTGCCCAGCCGGTCAAGGGCACATCTTGGGTGCATGCTACAGGTTTGGGAATTCCCAGTTTGTTTTTGCATGTTGAAGAGCAGGAGGTGGGTGAACTGTTGATGAGAGTTTTTCTTTTGCAGAGGGCACCATCGATTGAGGTCGGCCTAAAAACCGAGAAGGAATCACCTACTGTATATATATATATAAATACAATACAGTCCAGGAAAATTTGGAGGCAAAGCATAGTGGAGCATTAAAAATAAGGCAAACAACTAAAGCTTTGCACCTATTTTGAGGCATGTTTTGATTTGGCTTGTTTGCAGGGGTCTGTATGCAGTAGAAGCTAGATCCCCAATGTTCCCTACATCCACGCTAGGTAAGACATATGTGTATGGCTCACGCAATAGACCTCCAGAAAAGCTCTGGATGCCGGGAACTCTATGATGATGCTGTATTCCACGAACATCATGCGAACACTTGCGGCCTGCGGCAGAAGCACTCATTTGCTCAATAGTAACAGTGACACCATTTGAAGCGCTATAAACGTGTGGACCTTGGCTGAGTCATAGCAGAAGTATATGTATAATGCAATGCATAGTACATTATTGTCATTGCGTGCTGTCTGCGGACTTAAAGTGGACTCTTCTGATATATTGAGTATGGTTTGTGTATTGTAAAGCCTGCTCCTTGCAGCTATGGCATGGCAGACGTGCAGGAGATTGCACGCTTGAGACCTCTATTGGTCCTGCCTTGACAAGGGAAAGGTCTGTGCTTTTGCAGTACGCAGAGGGTGCAGAGGTCTTTGCCACATAGTATCGTAGATACCTACCTGGAAACCGGGTTGCTTGGCAGCTAGTCTCTGGTCAAAAGGATCAGTGAATCCAATATTCATGACAGTTGAGACCATGCCTTTTTCTCTGGATCCAAACATATGGACCTGCCTTTCCTTGTGTTCCATGCTCCTGGATTGTAAGATTCAGTCAGGGATCAACCCAGCCCTGAAAGACGTACCACAAAGCCGACCTTGTGACATTCAATGCACGGCTATGCCCAGCTCGCCCAGCTCCGAGCCCCCCCCACTGTCCGGCCGCCAGGAGCGTATTGCTGTGGTGGCCCGACTCCGGCCCGCTGCGTCATGTGCCCTCGTGAGACACACGTCAACGGAGGTGGTGGTCCAAGTGCCACGAGGTGGGGGGTCTTTGTTGGTGAGTGAGTGCTTCTGCAATTGTGAGGGAAGAGGCACGGTGTGGGTTGTGTGGGTTGGTTGTTTGATGTTGTGTTGCTTGCCATAAAGGGAATTGGGGTTTCAGTTGATGCTTTGCCCAACTCCAATCTATGAGACATCATCCTGTTTCATTGCTGTTTCTCTTCTCACTTTTCGGCATGCTAAGATGTAGCATGGTGAAGATGCTTCCGAAGGAAGACAGTTTTATTCTTCTTGCCGGGGCTGTTTTCGCATCTATGTGGATCAGCTGCGGTCGAGTTAAGAAGTCCATGACTCGCGTGGCCAGTGTAGGATGGTCATTTGTCACCCTCTTTCAAATGAACAATGACTGCAAACAGCTTTTGCAGGATTCTATGGGGAAAGGGTTGTCAATTTGGAGCCTTCAAGAAGAAACACTGTGGTCCTAGTCGTGTATGAGTGTCGGGCTTTGATGTTTGGCTTTCCAGGAAAGGATGAGGAGGGACATAGACTTTCCTTAACACAAACAGTCCTAGGATTTCCTAGGTTTTTTTTCCGGGAGTTCAGTTCGCGAGTTCTTCGCATTCAACAAGCCCGTACCATCAGCTCAGTGCTTTCTGCCCAGAGCCCCCCCAGCCTTGGTGGCTGTGTTCCAGGAAGCGACACTGTCAACAACCAGGTGGAGGAGTGACCCAGCAGGGCCCCACGAGTGAGAAGAGTATCGCTGAACATGAAGGGTTTGAAGGGGTTGTTCCCATCCCATGCTTGGGGCTGGTGCCTTTAAAAGGAAAATATCAGCAAAAGCAAGCACCCACAGGTAATACTGCTAGTCTTGCCCACTTCCACTTATTAAGCTGGTTTCACGGTTCTGAGTTCTGCCTGGCCATCCCTCACGACTGCAAATCAACAACGGATGCAAGTGCTCGACAGGCTTAGCTTCGTCACTGGTAGCAGAGGTACAGCTTCAGCTTTGCCAAAGTTTTTGGCACAGAAGCCACTCAGAGGGAGGTCTTCGATTTTGTGGCGAAGGCGATCTCCGAAGAGACATGAAAATCAGAGTAGTCTTAAGGGATTGAAGGGCTGGCTTGATTCTTGCCATCTGTTCAATCAATATCATCATACGCTGCGAGCTTTGTAACTTTGCAATGCTTCAGACTGAGACTTTTTTCAATTCCCTGTCCTGTGGGACGGTTTGCCAATTCGAAGTTTGCCAGTTTGGTGACAACTACAATCTTTTCCGGCCCAACAAAAGGTTTTGTCGTTTCAGAACTGAAAACACTTTTTTGCAAAGAACCCCTGCAGCTGGTAAAGGATTTGTTAAAATTCCTGTTCCTAAGACTCATTTGACAAGCAGGACACTTCGCCACATTTCGTTTGACGTTTTCCCTATCCCAGGACTTGGTGCGTGGAGCACTCGACGGAATCAACTGCTCGATTTTCGCCTACGGACAGACTCACGGTTGCCAACGAAACGTCTGTGCCCGTGGGGAAGAAGGTGGGGTCATGCTGGGGGTCTTGGTCTTGCTGCAAAAAGGTGGGACCTCTTCCTACTTCCTCGAAAATGGTGCAGCATTGTACAACCATGAAGGTGTTGTGCTCTTCAAGTTTCTTCACTCTAATCTAGCAACTGAGGTTTATTGAACTTCGAGGCCTTTGGGTTGAGTTGGACAGTCCCAGGTCTGATTTTCAGGAACGTCACTGCCCTTGAGATAAATGGGGACACCCAATCGGCTACAGTAGGCAGCCTGTAAGCATGAGTACTGTATATTGAAACATATCTTTGCACTGCATCGTGACAATGGTGGGACACTTCTCACCAAAAAGTGTGGCTGGCTGAGGACGGGCAGCGGCAAGACACACACCATTTGCTCTGAACTCAGAACACCTCATGCCATTGTGTGAGGCAAAGACGATGCGCTGGCGAGCACAACACTAGATGTCAAACAGCATGCAATTCTTTCCATAGTGAGGTGCCTAGGATGTGGGGTGAGCTCGGCAGACTCGAGCAACGAACTGTAACAAGTTGAGGTGTGACCAACTTGAACCCCATAATTGTCCCTCAAACAGAGTCCTGGAGCAAAAAAGCACATGGTAAACGTCTGCCGCGGCCACCAGGCGGGGATCACCAAGCCCGGGGCATCATTCCGCGCGCCTTGAACTGCCTCTTCAATGCCATTGAGGGTGCGAACGGGGGGACCGAAGCGACGAATTGACAGAGGTATTTGACGATTGACCATGGGGGTGCTGTTGAGATGACTTTATTCTATTAAAAAAACTCTTGAGAAGTTGTTCTGAGTGGTTTTCGCAGAGGAAGGTCAAGTGGAAAATCCTACATGATTCCGCACACAGAATCTGTGAAATCCAAAATGGCCGGAGTCGCGGCCCACGTGCAGCGGCCAAGGGTGCCCAGGTTGAAACTCATCCTGGGACAAAAAGCAGCTGACACAAGGACGCCACGATGGCGTGGACTATTCCGTCTCCTTATCCTTCATTGAGGCCTGGAACGGAGCGAATATATAAGGACCTTCTTTGGCGTACCAGAATCTGGGCAAGTGGTGATGTTTCTTTGGTAGATTTCTTAAGAACTCGCAAGACTCGTAATGCGCGGGGATCCTTGGCAACAGATGAATTATGCACAAGGAGTGGATGAGGGTCTCTTCTGGAATTTAGCTATACCTTAGAGCTTCAACCAGATTTTGCTCCCTTTGTGGTACGAATCAAGCACATCGCTACGGATCAGCTCTCTGTTCGGACCAAGATTCCTTGGCCAGGTGTGAGACACATCCCCAGGAAAGGAGTCAAGTCGATGTTCTTTGGTGTCCATCTGAGAGGTGATTTTGGCCTCCCCTGGTAACTCAGGGTGTTTGAGGTGTCCCCGGGCAGGGTGATAGGCACTTGACGGTGCGTGTTGGCCGACTGTGCTCGTTGCTGCCCGACTTGGTTCCATCTTCCTGGTCTTGAGAAGCCCGGTATAAACCTGACTGCAAGAGGGGAGCCTACTCTAACGGATGTTGCATTTTTGATTCAGGAATGCAGAGTTGTTGCCGTATGATTCTTTTTGGACATGATGAGACAGAGCTCCGGATGTGTGTGTCCTCAACTCTTGACGGTGGCCGGGAGGTCGGAAAGGCCTGTAGATTCTTCCCTACAACATGGACTGTTTTACATGGAGCTTGGCCTTGAGTACATACTCTACCAACACACCCACTGCCACGAGGGTGTTTTATTCTACTCCAAGACCTGGAATGTCCTTACCTTACTAGCTGTTGAGCTTGGACCATGATGCGATTCTTTTCACTGGGGCTTGTCGATGCTGAAATCCCTTGTTTATGCCGTGGGAGGTCTACAAGGAAGTTGGCTATGACTTGCTGTCCAAGGACCCAAGCCCCGGCGCCACCGCCGAAGCCAGGCCCTGGCTTCTATTTTGACAAAGGACATGTGGAAATCCTGACATCGTTGTAAACTATTTGCAGAAGGTGAAGCTCCTCCAAAGGATTTTTATTAGTAGATGTAGCAAAATCCATAGGAGGCCCTGCACACCAGATGAATCAGCAACCTTCTGGGTGTCTTGTCCTTGGTGGCAACATGCATAGCTACCTTGCCTATAAACTATCGTACTTATATATATATATATGAATAACATGAGGTGCACTAATAAGCTTCGCAAGGTCAAGGGTTCCCAGGATGTGTGACCTTCACAGCAGACCTTCCGACTGGCACCACAAGATCAATTTGTTCACAAGATCTGCGCAATATTGTGCCCTACTAATGTAGAAACTAGATCAACAACGATACTGTAATTTCCTGTTCATATTCTTGGTTTCTACTAAAGCATCAGACATTTGACCCCATCACAATCTGCAGCTCCGATACCTTGTGCTAGCCATTCCCTCAAGATCATGAACTCTTGTATCCTTCATTTCTTCCAAACAAACCTTTTTCTACCCTTCCCTACTTCAATGTGATCATCCCTAATCATCCCAAATTCTGTGAGTCCGAACACATCAAACTTGAGATGATGATCCGAACTCCGTGAGGACTTTGGCCGCACACAGGAGACGAGCTGGCTGCGTGCGGTGCTGGAGTTGAAAGCGGATTTCCAAGTCGGGGGAAAGGCTTCAAAGTTTGTGTAGCAGTGTAGCATAATTTCTGCACTACTCTACACTATGATCTCTTTCTGGTAACATAATCTCTCAAGTGCGAGGAGGTGCCAAAGCATGTCCATCTTATGGGATCCCATGACACGTCCAGAGCAGCGGAATGCCCTTTGTCATGCATGGGCCAGTGCACTACCAGCTTGGCTGGAGAGTCCTGGAGAGAACGATTGGCTGGCCGAGCGAACGGAGAAGTTGAACCAGCTGAAGAGACAAACAGTCACTTTTCCTGTACCTGCAAGGCAAACTGCATCCCAGCACCTCAAGACACACGAAGCACCACACGGAATGATTTTCTGATCTCGACCGTTTCTGGGCTTGTCGTCTTCTAACACTGCTTCCTGAGAGCGCAAAGCTTCAAGCACCAATCCTGGCATTAGGTGGTGAAACGGTGAAATGCAAAGCTTCAACCTGCATGCCACACCCCAACCGGCAACGTGCTGACCTCACGAAACACGCGCACCTCGGCAACAAGGTCCCCGCGCCTCGTATCCTGCGCGCAGCTTCGCGCCGGCAACACTGTGTCACGTTTCGACGTCAGTTCAACCAAATAGAATCCATCCATCCATCCATCCATCACAGCACCAGCACCAGCACCAGCACAGCCAAATCCAATCCGACCACAATTCTTTGCGCGGACTGTCAGGTCTCCTTTTGCAGCCGCACGTCACTCATCCAGCACCGCATGATGGAACACTGGGTCTTTTCGATGCATCCATTTTTTTTGTTGATCAAAATCGAGATGCCTTGCATAGATTGCCAACACCCACATTGTGTCTCTGCAACAGCAGCAGCAATGTTCCGATCATGCAAGCACTCCGTCCTCCCATGAAAAGGGTACCATTCCATGGAAGATGCAGATTGGGACGAGCTGCTCCAAGCTCACTAAGCTCACCTACAACAGCGCTTGGCAGCTCCTTCAGATGACCATGCAGCCACAATGCAAGCAGGGCTTTGGCTGCTGCTCAATGACCGGTGCTTTGCCCGGCCTATGAGCTCTTGGTGGCCACTATGGACAGGTTGGAAAGCCATTACATCACGTTGTTGAGGCTCTCCACCACCAACCAGTGGCTTGAGAAGAACGACGAGCACCCTCCCATCTACCACAACGAGCTCCCCCCCCGCCTTTGCGCTGTCGGCGGCAGCCGTACTCTTCCTGAGGGCCAAAACGGACCCAGTTCCTTCGGACTAACTTCTCAAGCTGCTCAATCTCTTGCAGTCCTCGAATTTGAGGCAGGCTTGAACAGCCAAGCCTTTTCATGGAACCCATAATGTAAATGTAAAGGAAGGGTTGCGCAACGAGACACATTTGTCGGCGTCCTGCAAAGTGCAAAGTGCAAAAGTCCATCCATTCCATCCATCCATCCATCCATCCATGCAGGGTCCTGGTGACGACAACGCGACGATAACACGATGACGCTGCAGGGGTGGTAAGAGGGGAATGTGCACAAACCAGAGAGAATCCACAAAAGTGCCCAGTGCCAAGAGTGTCAAAAGGCCAACTGAGATGATTTTTTTACATGTGGGTTGGAGGCCATCGCTATTAGGTGGGAGGCCATCGCTATTCTTTTACATGTCAAAAAAAAATGCAAAGAATGTGCCGAAAGAGTTCGCCACGGAAGCGAAAGGTGCTGGAGCAGAACGTGCCGCAAAGTCCAACTTCAACAGGGGTTAGTTTATGTGTCATTTGTATTCCTTTTGATTTTTGGGCGATACGTTTGCTTGGTGAAGTCTCTGTAACATGCAAAACCAAATCTCCGCCGCGCTCTCTAGCAACCAGGCCCCAGCTAGGACCTATGACCTAGCTCAGCCTCTTTCCCACTTATACGTACCTGGGTGGAAACTTTGCCCATGAGGCCTAGCCTGTATCACTCATGCTCTTGAGCGGACTCGCACGAGCGCAGCCGCTCTGGTGCAAGATTTTGGTTGGGGGGTTGCTGAGGTGTTGGGCTGGGCCAGTCTGGCCGCTTGTCAGGCGGTTTCTTTGGACCATCATCCTATCGACGTTGAGGTTGGCACCACTCAACGTGCTCATTGCTCGCTACTTTGAGCTTTCTGGCTACGACGCTGTCGTGAGCCTTCCTGTTCGTCCTGACCATAGCCTACATCTCCGCGGTTGATCAGAACCACCAAGAAAACTTTTGTGGCGCGTGTATTCTGGTCTTCTGCCGGTAGTATTGGCGTTGTGGTGCTTTTTTGAACACAACAACGTTCTGGTCAGGAGGCCTGGCCCACGGTGAGCGTCTCTTTGCAGAGTGGTGAGGCAGTCCTCATAGGCTGTGGATGTGGGGCACATGGGCGTTCGGGGTCTCACATTGCTTTTGCACCAGCTGGAATGTACACACCCTGGCAAGAACTTTACTGGGTGCTTTGTTTTGGTAGTGCCAACACATTGTTTGGAAAGTAGATGACTAGTATCTTAACTTATAACCTATCCTCAAAAGTTCTTTTGTGCCATCTAGAATGGCGTGGTTACATTGGGACTGTGTACCCATTGGTGGTTGAATCTAAAGCTTAGAGGGGGTTCAGAATTGAATTGATATTCCTCCATCATACCAGTGACCTGACCGCAAGAGAATCAAATGAGCAGTGACAACTGCTTTGGATGGTAGCTGTGTCATTTATAGTTGCCTCTGTTTGCTGAGGGTTTGTCTCTCATCGGATGGGCCCGATTTGGTAAGTTTCTCACGCTGCAACATGCGGCTTGCTATTTTGTTCTGCACCGTTGCCTGCCTCGGCGCCTTCACAGCAAGCGAAATGCATGGATTTGTTAAGAAAGAATGGTGGCCTCATGATGTACTCCATGGGATTCGGGGCTTCACCCATCGAACCAGTTCGCAGTGTGGCATTTTTTTGCAGGAGACTTCGTTCAATATTTATGGGGATGCTAGCCAAAGATGCCAAATTTTGATCTTTTTCGAAACAACGCAGAGACGATCTTTGAGGTTGCAGGTGGATGATGAAGTGCCACGCCACCATCCTGTTTACTGCAACAACAACTCCAGGTGCTCAGAAACAGCCAATGAGAATGAGAGCACAAAATAGCACAAACAGATCTCCATTGATCACAACGACTTTGCTCATCACATTGCACCTTGTTTCTGAGTTGCCGAGCATGGCTGAGTCGTGCCTCGTCCGCGCCAAGTGGGTCTTTTGGGCCTCACAACAGGTCTGTGGAAAGTAACTGCTCTTTTCTGTTGTGGCAAATCAAAGCCACACTGATTTGGGCACGGTGAACCGAGAGCTGTTTATTCCTTCCCTTCGAGAGATATCTATCTCTACCCTCGTGGCCGCTTGTAGTCAGGCGTCTTTTACAGCTTCATGTTCAGGTCGTTGGCCCGTTGGCACTCGTTGATGTAATGCGAGCATTCGGCGTAATGGGTTTTGAACCGAGATTCATGCCATTTCTCTGTGGTCTGGTACGACTTGATACAGGTGGTCCTAGTGTTAGGATTCGGAACTCCGAGGCAAGCTTGTGCCGGAAGTTTCCAGTCCATTGGATTTATCCAAACATCTACAAAAGTGACCTCCAAGAAACGGAGTCCGCTCTTCCGCCACCAGCGGTCTTCGTCACGGAGTCACGGAGATTCTTCGACCGATCCACTCAGCTGAGGGCGAAGCTTCGAGACTTTCGAAGCCTCGTGGCGACCTTGGTCGGGCTGAGCGCGCGGAGGGCTGGAAGCCGGGTGAGTCCATCCGATCAGACTTCGATTAGACCCGTTGGTTCCGAAAACAGAGGCATCCCAACCAGTGCAGTGATACCAGAAGTATGCCGCAGTACTGTGCTGCCCTTCCTTTGGGAGTGTGCAGTGCTACTCTGGGTTTGAGCAAACTGATGGACATCAAACAATTGAAACGGTTCGTTGCTTGCCTGGCGAACGAGGCCCCCCAATCGAAGAGGGGGATCTGAGATTTGGACGCCCATGAGACGTGTTCAACAGAGGTGGCCTCTAACTTGGCATGCGAAGCGCGGGTTCGGAGAGGCCCTTTTTTTAGATTTGGTGTTCTGAGACTCCAGACATCTTTAGACCTTTGTCAAGGTGCTCTTGGCTTTGGCGAACCGATGTTTTTCGCACAAAGCAACCTCCGACTCCTCGTACCTCTAAAGTGTCGCGTCAACGATGCACACGTCAGGATGAGGGAACGGCCGTGGACCGAGTGCAGGGCCTGCTGCAGCAGCGGGGTTTCTGCATGATTTCCAGCGAGTTGGACTCTTGTGGCTTTGGTATGAAAGAGTGTGAGGTTGTGGCAGTGGAAGAATCTGCGGTGACACGGGCTTCTCAACGGCCAAAACACCTTTTTGAGGTCGGACCTTTCAATTTCAATGGTCCTTGGAAGAGACCTAGGACGTTGTGGAAGGCATGTGAGGTCTGAAGATCTGGTCGTCTTTCAGCTGACAGGGTCGGATCGTTGATTTCAGCTCCGAAAAGGCGGTTTATTCGAGGCGACGCTGCCTTAGATGCCGAATGTCTCTGGTGTTCGCGGCGCATGCGGCGAACACCGCTGGAGGCAGGGAGCGCTTCAGGGGAGTGCAGTGTAGTCTCACCAGCAAGCTGCTGGAAAGGTAGCGAAAGTAAGATCCGGGTAGTTACTAGGAGCTAGCTCAAAACCTGTTGCTTGTAAGAGTCTTGATGTTGATGGATTGGAAACCTTCTTTGTATGGAGGTGCAAAGATTTCAATGTACTTGCCTCTTTGCCCGAGGAGGTAGTGTTGGATCTCCATCAGCACATAGGGTACTTGTGACCTCAAGGCTTGGCATCCTTCCATTCGACTCCATGCGTCCCGCGCTCGCACCCGCGCTTGCAGATGCGGGACGCTTACTTCGGTTCCGCCTCAGACTGGAGCTATGAGGTGGAGCCTGATGTCCCCTACACCAGCGAGGCTCCACAAGAGCATCGCAAGAGTGGAGGGGTTCAGACATGTATTGAGCATGCCAGAACGATGGACAGATGTGATCTCAGGAGGTGCTTTAGCTAATCGGGCATTGGGTGATGTTGAAACTCAAAAGTCGATCTCGAGAGCAAGAAGAAGGTAGCAAGCTTTTCTTTAACAAAAAGATTTGTTTTGCCTGCCCAAGTGAACAATGGCCCACCTCTTGAAACTGACTCGCGAGTACGGAATACGAGAATGCCATCTCCACACTCCAGAGATCCAACTTTTCTTCGAGTTCTTCATCAGGAGGTGGGTGGCGCTTTATATGCCTTGGATGGTCAGCTCGCCGAGCTGAGCCAGCTGGTGGCCAGGCTGGGCTGGAGCGAAGCCCTGGAGGTTTCTGGAGGAAGAAGAGATGCTTCAGCAATCGCAGAGTTCGTCACATGACCCATGGAGTTTGAGGGATTTGGACAATGATGACTTCCAACAGGCATACTTCTTGGTGCAGAACTCATCGGAGCCATTTCTCCACAGGTGGTCAAGCATTCATTATTCCTCAATCTTCAAGGGCGTTAACCAGACCACCCAAACCCCTCCACTGGTCTGCCTTTTTCTTCTCACGGCAGGTCCGTGTCCAGCTTCGCAGCACGGCGCCTCACACAGAGATGCGCAGGGCTGCTGCACTGCTCCAGCTTGCAGGGGGAGCAGCCCAAGACCTCTCATGACACAGAGGCGCACAGACCTGGCAGTTTTTTGGCTGAAGGAAGTTCGAAGAAGCCAAGATCATGAAGTTCCTGGTCGGACGAGTGAAGTTTGGTGGGAGGATTGCGTGCAAAAGGCCTAGTTGGCTGATGGAGTTTTCAATTTCGTGGCAGACTGAAAAGGCCGTTGGTCAAGTCAGAATGGCACAAGAGCTCCGTGCTCCGACCCGCATCGTTATGAGTGAGTTGTTCTAATACCTTCATCTTCATGACAGGCCCTTTGCCTGCGGTCCGAAAGCTGGCACCGGGGTGGTCGATCCTTTTGACCTTTCGACACCTCCAACATGCGTAAGAAAGAATCCAAACAAAACTGACGACACCGACGGGCTTTCTTCAACAGGTCGATCCTCCAGGTCGGGTCACTGCGGAGGAGGCGCGTTGCTTGGGGGGTTGGTCGTTTGTTTTCCTTTTTTCGGGTCGGGGTGTTGGTCGTGTGGTCGGCTGAAGAGGGTCAGTTTCGGCTGAAACGCATGAAAAGTGTTTGCTCAGACCCATGTGTGACTCATGGGGCTCATGATTGTTGCTGCTGCTACAGCACAAGTGGGGGTGGGGTTGTAGCTTGTTGACGATCATTAATCATTTTTCATCCACTCTTGAATGCCAACGCTGGCGATGGCGCAGCGCAGGTGGGACTCTACGTGTCGCACTGCGCCATGAAAAAGGTGGCCAGGGTGGGGGGGGTGAGGCACAAACGGCCAGGAGGAGGAGCTCTTGAGCAATTGAAGTCTCACCTGTCCACTTGGCATTATGGGTACGCGGTAGACCTCAATTTGCATCATGGGTTACTGTAGTTGGAGGAATCTCAAATCAGGCAGTGTGCATAAATCTTGAGGCTGACCGACACCTGTTTGGACTGGCAATCACCCTGCGTATGGTCTTTCCCCCAGAAGAGGATTAGATGGCGACCTGGAGGAATCCCCACCAACCGCCCACAGTTTGGGATGGTCTTGTTGTTCACATCGTTCACGTCCAGTTCCTATCAAATAGCAAAATAGCACCTTACTTGATTGGGCAGACAATATGGTGAATGTCATGGAAAGACTTGTCGAGGGGTTTGGCTTTGGAATCTGTATCATTTATCCCAGCAACGAATCTGAGCTGCAAAGTAAAAGGAGAAACAGATGAAGGATGCTTGTGGCCGTGTTTCGTTTACCGGAATTCTCCCTTGACAGAATCAAGGAAGGGCAGCATGCCACCCTGGACTTGAAGTATCCCAACAACATGGGTGCGTTTGGAATCTGGAATTGAATCAATAGGGTCCTGTGGCATAATCATGCGAAACTCAAATCAAATCCGTTGGCCGTCAGAAGTCGAAGGACCGGACACAGAAAGACCTGCATCGAATCGTTGAGATTCCCAGGTGGTGCTGCTCTATGCCTTTGGGAAGAGTGGGCTGCTGCTGCGACCGAGGTCCCTAGCAACAAGAACCAGGATAAGTCTAGGCAGTTTGGACTGACTTTTTTGGATCCATCAACCCTTGCTCTTTGGATCAATCTCGGACCTTCTCCGCTTCAGTTTATGTCTATCCTAGTCTGACCCCGATCCGATGCCGCCAGGGCCGACCCCTCTGAGGAGATCGAACTCTTCCTGGACTCTGGTGTCACGTCGTGGTTTTGGCGGACTGTGCA